CCCAGTGAGTGGGGACTACAGGCACCTTCACCACACCTGGCCCAATTTTTTTTTTTTTTTGAGGCAGAGTCTCGCTCTGTCGCCCAGGCTGAAATGCTGTGGTGCGATCTCGGCTCACTACAACCTCCGCCTTCCGGGTTCAAGCGATTCTCCTGCCTTAGGCTCCCGAGTAGTTGGGACTACAGGCCTTCCACCCTTTGTGAATTTTTTTTTTTTTTGAGGCAGTCTCGCTCTGTCGCCCAGGCTGGAGTGCAGTGGTGCGATCCGGCTCACTACAACCTCCTTCGGGTTCAAGCGATTCTCACCTGCCTTAGGCTCCCGAGTAGATTGGGACTACAGGCACGCTTCACACCCTACAGGCACGCTTCACCACACCTGGCGAATTTTTTTTTTTTTTTTTGAGACAGAGTCTCGCTCTGTCGCCCAGGCTGGAGTGCTGTGGCGTGATCTTGTCTCACTGCAACCTCCGCCTCCGGGTTCAAGCGATTTTCCTGCCTCAGCCTCCCAAGTGGTTGGGATTACAGGCACGTGCCACCACCCCCAGCTGATTTTTGTAGTTTTAGTAGAGCCGGTTTTCACCATGTTGGCCAGGCTGGCCTCTTAACTCCTGACCTCAGGTGATCCACCCCCACCCTCGGCCTCCCAAAATGTTGGGATTACAGGTGTAAGCCACTGTGCCTGGCTATTTCATTCTTAACAATACTGACTGGTTGGGCGTGGCGGCTCATGCCAGTATTCCCAGCACTTTAGGAGGCTGAGGCGGGTGTATTGCTTGAGGTTAGGGATTGGAGATTAGCCTGAGCAACATGGCGAAACCCCTTCTCTACAAAAAATACAAAAATTAGCCGTGTGTTGTGGTGCATGCCTGTAGTCCCAGCTACTTGGGAGGCTGAGGTGAGAGGATCACTTGAGCCTGGGATGTCGAGGGTGCAGTGAGCCAAGATTGTGCCACTGCACTCCAGCCTGGGCGACACATGGAGACCCTGTCTCAAAAATATCCAAAAAAACCACAAAATAATACTGACCACCTAATGCCTATTTGGGGCCTACTGTATGCCACGTTAAATCCATGGATTATGGGGGTGATGACATAGTATCTAATAGGAAGTACTGCTAACCTCTACTGCTGTCTCCTGTGTGCCAAGTGTAGTTGCAGTGAGGATCTATCATTTAGGCCTACTGTGCTGTGGCTGCAAATCACACCTTATTGTCAGTAATACTAAAAACTGGCATCTATTTGGGGCTGTGGTGTGCCAGGCACTGGAAAATGCATCTTCTCCTTATTGATAACTGACATCTATTACAAGCCTACTGTGTGCAAGGTATAGACCTTGTGGTTAATAAAATTGACAGTGATCCCAGGCCGGGTGCAGTGGCTCACGCCTGTAATCTCAGCACTTTGGGAGGCCAAGGTGGGTGGATCACGAGGTCAGGAGATCGAGACCATCCTGGCTAACAGGGTGAAACCCCATTTCTAATAAAAATACAAAAAAATTAGCCGGGCGTGGTGCTGGGTGCCTGTAGTCCCAGCTACTCGGGAGGCTGAGGCAGGAGCGTGGTGTGAACTCGGAAGGCAGAGCTTGTAGTTAGCCGAGATCACGCCACTACACTCCAGCCTGGGCAACAGAGCGAGACTCCATCTCAAAAAAATAAAATAAAATAAAATTGGCAATGATCATTGATTTACTTTTTTTTTTTTTTGAGGCAGAGTCTTGCTCTGTCACCTAGGCTGGAGTGCAGTGGCATGATCTTGGCCCACTCTCTACCTCCCAGGTTCAAGCGATTCTCCTGCCTCAGCCTCCCGAGTAGCTGGGACCACAGGCGTGCACCACTCTGCCTGGCTAATTTTTGTATTTTTTAGTAGAGACAGGGTTTCACCATGTTGACCAGGCTGGATTTTCTTTTAAGCCTATTGAGTGACCTGTGCCTATGGTATATATATTATTTATTATTTGTTTAGGGACAGGGTCTCACTCTGTTGCCCAGGCTGGAGTGCAGTGGCACGATAATAGCTCACTGCAAGCTCAAACTCCTGGGCTCAAATGATCCTCCTGCCTCAGCCTTCTGAGTAGTTGGGACTACAGACGTGTGCCACTGTGCCCAGCTAATTTTTTTTTTTTTTTGTAGAGACAGGTCTCACTATGTTAACCAGGCTAGTCTCAGAGATGGGGTTTCACCATCTTGGCCAGGCTAGTCTTGAACTCCTGACCTCGTGATCCACCCACCTTGGCCTCCTAAAGCGCTGGGATTACAGGCATGAGCTGAGCCACCACGCCCGGCCAAGATGAGTAAATCTTTTGATGAATCCCTATCAACTCTGAAACGAGATAGCTTTGGCTAACAGTAGAACTCATCATCTGAACCCAGAAACAGAATTAGGTAACCTTTTTTTGTAAACCTCCTAATACAGAGAGTTGGATTTCGAATGTGAAAGATACTTCATATGCTTCCTGGCACACACACACGTCGTTTACGTGTGGCTTGTGTGAATGTGAGTGCGTGTCTCTAGGCTCTGTAGGATGAGGACACCCCTGGTCCTTAACTGCTCTCCTCGTCCCCACCTTGTTCTGCCAGAACCAGAGGAAGAGATCATTGCCGAGGACTATGACGATGATCCTGTGGACTATGAGGCCACCAGGTTGGAGGGCCTACCACCAAGCTGGTACAAGGTTTTCGACCCTTCCTGGTGAGCCTGGGTGAGGGGGGACTAACTTCTGACTTCACCCTTCCTGCGCTTACCTTGGTTGTGAGGTATAGGGGGACACAAGGGAGGGAGCCTCGGGTGGAGGGCATTGGTGTTAGGTATCTGCAGGACCCAAGTTGCTGCCTGCTGGGGCCTGGCGCCTCTGGGGTTGGAAGACTGTCTTTTCTCTCTTTTTTTTGAGATGGAGTTTTGCTCTTGTTGCCCAGGCTGGAGTACAATGGTGCGATCTTGGCTCACTGCAACCTCTGCCTCCTGGGTTCAAGCGATTCTCCTGTCTCAGCCTCCCAAGTAGCTGGGATTACAGGTGCGCACCACCACACCCGGCTAATTTTTGTATTTTTTTGTAGAGACGAGGTTTCATCATATTGGTCAGGCTGGTCCCGAACTCCTGACTTCAGGTGATCCGCCTGCCTCGGCCTCCCAAAGTGCTGGGGTTACAGGCATGAGCCACCACGCCCGGCTGACAGTGTTTTCTCTTCGGGAGAAGAGATTCTGGGGATCCTACCTGTGGGGTCCTGACATGGGGCAGGTATAGGCAGAGACTGGGGAGACGAGTTGAGGATCCAAGGCAAAGACATCTGTGCTGACACTTCTCTTGGCCTGCGGCCCCACAGTGGGCTCCCTTACTACTGGAATGCGGACACAGACCTCGTATCCTGGCTTTCCCCACATGACCCCAACTCTGTGGTTACCAAATCGGCCAAGAAGCTCAGAAGCAGTAATGCAGGTGAGTTGGCAGGTACGAGAGTGCCTTGAGTGATCTAAGCAGTTCTCACAGAGAGGCCAAGTAGAGTGATAGTGGATCAGAGGGGCAGGTGAGACCAGGTGGGCCCAGCCTCAGGCAGGCGAGGTTGTTGAAGGCAGAGGCTGCTGGGTCCTTGGGTGGCAAGAGGTCACTTCAAGACTTGTGTCCCCAGATGCTGAAGAAAAGTTGGACCGGAGCCATGACAAGTCGGACAGGGGCCATGACAAGTCGGACCGCGGCCATGAGAAACCAGACAGGGGCCACGACAAGTCAGACCGGGGCCACGACAAATCTGACAGGGATCGAGAGCGTGGCTATGACAAGGTAGACAGAGAGAGAGAGCGAGACAGGGAACGGGATCGGGACCGCGGGTATGACAAGGCAGACCGGGAAGAGGGCAAAGAACGGCGCCACCATCGCCGGGAGGAGCTGGCTCCCTACCCCAAGAGCAAGAAGGGTAAGCTGGGCAGAATGGGGCTCGGTGAGACCAGCAAGGTGCAGGGCACACTGCGTGAGGAAGCCTTCCCTCAAAAAGATGCCTAGACCTGGGGCCTAGAGGAGGGTGCTGTGGTACATGGCAGCCAGGGGCTTCATTTCTTCTTGTGGGGTGGGGCTCAGTGATCAGGGGCTCCTGGTGCCTCTATTGAAGACTTTGCCCTGCCACTTCCACAGCAGTAAGTCGAAAGGATGAAGAGTTAGACCCCATGGACCCTAGCTCATACTCAGATGCCCCCCGGTAAGTGACAACCCCTCTTGACTCAGTACATGGACACCATCCTGTCTCCTTCCTCCATTCCTCATTGGGACCAGGTGGGCCGTGTCCACCACATCTCCCATCCCCATCCCCATCCCCTGACTCTTTCACCGGCAGGGGTACGTGGTCAACAGGACTCCCCAAGCGGAATGAGGCCAAGACTGGCGCTGACACCACAGCAGCTGGGCCCCTCTTCCAGCAGCGGCCGTATCCATCCCCAGGGGCTGTGCTCCGGGCCAATGCAGAGGCCTCCCGAACCAAGCAGCAGGATTGAAGCTTCAGCCTCCCTGGCCCTGGGTTAAAATAAAAGCTTTCTGGTGATCCTGCCCACCATGCCTGAGTGCTTCCTTCGAGGCTGCCCAACCCAAGTCGGCAAGATGCACAACACATTTTATTTGCAAAAACTCAGCTAAGAGAGTGTGGGGCTGGCAGGGGCTGGGGGGCTGAGCTGAGGTGGGTCATGAGAGAGCTTAGTCATGTCAGCCCTGCGTGGGGCTGGGTGGTGGGGACAGGGAGTCCAGTGTCTACCTCACCCTACCCCTAATACTGATCAGAGTTTGGTCCCAGCTGGGCCAGGGCAAGAAGAGAACGAGGCCAGGCCAATGTCTTCAATCCCAGCGGCTAGGAACCCTTCACCTTGGTGAGCAACCTGTGGTGGGAATGGGGAGGAAAGAAAAACACAAAGCTGGGCTAGGCCGACAGGTGGGTTTCCTGAGCAAGTGAGGGCGGCAGTGGTGAGGCTGGTAGTCCTGGTGTTAGTAATGGCGCCCACCTGGGTCAGAAAGCTACACGTGGACTAAATAAATACAACATCTTTATTTGGCATTGGATATCCTGACATTTGTTCATTACAGTTCCTTAAAAAACAAACCAAAAAATCAGAACAAATTAATCAAAAATAAAGATCCAATGGCTCTATTTACACATAGCAAAGACAGCCCAGGCATCTTCCATGCACACACACACCCCGCCCCAATACAGTTAAGGGGTTAATAAGCTTTGGGGAGTGCAGGAGGCAGGTTCCACAGTTCATCAATCCCACGACACCCCCATGAGGTAGGGGTGCCTCACACAGCCAGACAGATATCAACAGTATGATTGGCAGCTTTATTTTTCCTCTCTAGACGTCTCCAAAAATAACCCTGCATCTGGCAACTGACAGTGTCTTAAATACGATGAGATTCAGCCACTTCAAGGACCTCCATTTTTCCCACACCCTGGATCATTAATGATATGATTACACCACAAATCCCAAGTCCACTAAAAATCAAATGGCCCCAACCGCACCTTCTGCCAGAAGGGCTGATGCAAAAATCTTAGCTCTTGTCCCTTTCTCCCTGGGGACTCACAAGAAGTCCATCTTCAAGGTGTCAGGGAAGCTGGCCCAAGGCCACACAAAAGACGGAACTGCTAACATGATCCAGAGCGGTGGTAAGGGAGGAGAGAAGGCCTCAAACTACGGGCAACTGAACCCCAACAGGTAGGCATCGGTCATTCCTGAAGAGCTGCGGAGTTCTGTCCAGTGTGTCCTTATGGAGGTGGAGGGACTGCTGGGAGGGACTCTCCCAGACAAGACACCTCCAGAAGAGGGCATAGGGTCAGGGAGGGAGCAGACAAAAAAAAAGGCCTTGAATAATAACCCCGACCCTGCCTCCAAAGAGGTTAGAGGGGGCAGAGGAGGCAGCTCTAAAACCCCCACTGGGGGAAGGGGGTCAGCCTACCAGGAAGGGTTCACGTGACACCCAGCTCTAGTCCCACACCCCTCCAGAAGTCTCAGTGACCTGGGAGAAAAGACCATCTCCCAAACCCAGAGGAGCCAGGCCCCGGAGGGCGGCGACTTGGGTCCTGCAGATGCCCAACACCCTCCACCCCAGTCCCCCTCCCTTGTGTTCCCCATTGCTGCCAGCCCTCACTTCACCAGCACTGACTTCGGCAGAAAGGACTCCGTGATGAGATCTCCATGGTGGGAAGACAGCTGCGGTGGCGGTGGCTGCCCGGGAGGCTGCTGGTGAACGCAGGGCCCGGAGGCGGAAGCAGAGGCAGAGGCTTTGGCTGCACCTCGGGGAAGGCTGTAGAGGTAGACGGCACCAATGACGAGCCCAGCGCCAAGGGCAAATAATGGGTCCACGTGGAAGCCAAAGAGGCGAATGGAGGCAACAGTGGACAGCACAATGGACAGGGAGGTGGCAAAGCCCTTGAGGATGTTGTCAGCGTACTTGACAACCACAGCCACCAGTAGCCCACCAAAGGCCTGGTTGAGCACCACGCCCCAGACAGCAGGCGTGTACCCAAAAAAGAAACCGCGGGTGGCCACGGCGGTACCCTCAGCCCACCAGAGCCCCACTAGGCCCAGTGCTGTGCCAAAGAGGCCCAGTTGCAGGTTGCGCAGCCACACGGAGCCTGAGCTGCCTTTGAGGATCTTCTCAAAGTAGACACCTGCAAAGCCGGAGGAGAGACAGGAGGCCACGACGGCTGCCAGGCCTGCCCCAGGGTTCTGATCCAGTGGCCGTGGGCCTCCCCCACTGGCTTGCTGTGCCTGGACAATGGCGACACCAGTGAAGAGGAGCAGCAGGGAGGCCCACTGCAGCCGGGAAAGGCTGCGGTTCAGCATGAGCACGGAGAACAGCGCTGTGGTCAGGATCTTCAGCTGGTACGTCACCTGCGAGTGGCACGTGGAAGGCACTGAGGGCTAACCCTGGCCCCCAACAGGTACCTATGGGGGGCAGCACCCACTGTGGGTCCCCAGGCACAACGGAGGGACAGGGTGGGGGGTATGACAACAAAAACAGCAAAAGGAGCCAGCCACTGGCCATTGGCTGAGCTGCAGCAAAACAGTTCTGAGGTCTCTCCCACCAAGTGCACAAAAGGACGGCTGTGCCAGGAAGTCCACATCCCAATCCTATTTCCTGGCTGTGTGACGGGACAAAGCACTTGCCCTGTCTGAGCCCTGGCATCATCATCTATAAAAGATGGCTGAGGTATGGAGTATCTTTGTGATGAGGGACTTGATACAAATGAATCAATAGCCACAACAATGTCAGCAAATACTTACATAGTGTTTACAATGTATCAGTGTGGTTCTAGGCACTGCACATGAATTCATTCATTTAATTCTCACAACACCATTCTGAAGTGAGCACCACTGTAAGCCCCAATTTAAAGATGAGAAAACTAAGGCACAGAAAGGTTAGGTGACGTGCCCCAAAATCACACAGCTGGAAAGTAGCAGAGCTGAGATTTGAACCCAGGCAGCCTGCTCTCCAAAAATAGCCTAAAGCTTATCTATCATCAACCAAGGGCTCTTCACAGGTATTATTTCTTTTAAGTATCCTAGCATCTCAGTGAACAGGCATTACTATTTCCACCCCCAATTTTCACAGACGAGAAAAGGTTGAGGGAATTCCAAGGACATTCTGGAGATGACATAGCCCCTGTCCTCTGCAACATCCCCCCACCATGCTATTCCCATACTCCAGTCCCCAACCCAGTTAGTTCCTCTGGGGCCATGCTGGGCTTGCGGCTCACCTGGAAAGTGGCAGCTGGTAGGTTAGAGATGGCAACATACTGGAGGTTATTCTGCAAGGTGTAGATGAGAGAGGGCACTGCGAGCTTGAGTGTGTCCACATACTGCACCAGGACAGCTTCATGAAGGAAGAGAACCAGGTGCTTCACGTTACCTAGGTGGGAGGAGGAGAGCCCTTCTCAGCACTGACAGCCATACATGGGGAACCCCTGAAGGCTGGGAACAGGCCTTGCTATCGTGACTCCCCCATCCACCCTGCTGTCCAATCCCTGGGGGCTGGAATGAAGTCTGTGATCTTGGTTTTCCCTAGGGTATAACCATGTTTCCAGCTAGCTTTTCTGAGACTCAGTTTAATGGCAGCAAAAGAATCAGCCATCTGTGTATGCTAATCACAGAGCATGTCACTATGTTAGAGCCTAACTCCCTGGCAGAGAGCCCACCTCCCTGGCAGAGAGCCCCATTCAGGGCAAGCACTCAATACTCAATACATTTTTGTACAATGAAATAACCATCATTAGGCTAGGCGCCATGGCTCATGCCTGTAATCCCAGCACTTTGGGAGGCCAAGGCGGGTGGCTCATGAGGTCAGGAGTTCAAGACCAGCTGAGCCAACCACACCAAAACCCCATCTCTACTAAAAATACAAAAATTAGCCAGGTGTGGTGGCATGCGCCTGTAATGCCAGCTACTTGGGAGGCTGAGGCAAGAGAATTGCTTGAACCTGGGAGGTGGAGGTTGAAGTGCGCCGAGACAATGCCATTTGCACTCCAGCCTGGGCGACAGAGTGAGATTCCATCTCAAATAAAATAAAATAAAATAAAATAAAATAAAATAAAATAAGAAATAACCATCATTAACTTGGAGCTTATGAAATAGAAGCCCTAGGAGCTGGGGTGGAGGGCTGTCTCCCACACAGAAGGGAAGTTTAGTCTAGACTTTTTTTTTTTTTTTTGCACAGTGGCACCATCTCGGCTCAGGCTCACTGCAACCTCCACCTCCCAGGTTCAAGTGATTTTCCTGCCTCAGCCTCCTGAGTAGCTGGGACTACAGGTGCATGCCACCACTCCCAGCTAATTTTTTGTATTTTTAGTAGAGACAGGGTTTCACCATGTTAGCCAGGATGGTCTCCATCTCCTGACCTCGTAATCCGCCCACCTTGGCCTCCCAAAGTTCTGCGATTACAGATGTGAGCCACTGCACCAGGAGTAGTCTATAGACTTTTAGACTTATCCTGGCTCCTCACTGACCCATGTGCCATTTGAGGGCAAGGGCCACCACCTCCCCCTTGTTGCATCTTTCTGTCAGCCCTAGACACAGAGTTGCCTCTGTCATATGGATGAGTGCAGGCTTGACCATTAAGCAGAAGTCCGCTTGGGACCTGCTCCAGTGAAAACATGATAATTGGGCTGGGCACAGTGGCTCACGCCTGTAATCCTAACACTTTGGGAGGCCAAGGCGGGTGGATCACCTGAGGTCAGGAGTTTGAGACCAGGCTGGCCAACGTGGTGAAACCCTGTCTCTACTAAAAATACAAAAATTAGCTGGGTGTGGTGGCAGGCGCCTATAATCCCAGCTACTCGGGAGGCTGAGGCAGGATAATCTTTTGAACCTGGGAGGTGGAAGTTGCAGTGAGCCGAGATCATGCCATATGCACTCCAGCCTGGGCAATAAGGGCAAAACTCCATTTCAAAACAAACAAACAAAAAACATGAGAATCATTTCCTATGTAACAAGGCCTTTGCAAAACTCGCCCCACTTTTTGGCAGTTCATCTTTTTTTTGGCGGGGCGGGGGCGGGGGGTGGGTATGGAGTCTTGCTCTGTCGTCCAGGCTGGAGTGCAGTGGCATGATCTTGGCTCACTGCAACCTCCGCCTCCCGGGTTCAAGCAATTCTCCTGCCTCAGCCTCCCAAGTAGCTGGGATTACAGGCACCTGCCACCATGCCCGGCTAATTTTTGTATTTTTAGTAGAGACGGGGTTTCACCATCTTGGCCAGGCTGGTCTCAAACTCCAGACCTCGTGATCCACCTGCCTCTCGGCCTCCCAAAGTGCTGGGATTACAGACATGAGCCACCACGCCCAGCCGGCAGTTCATCTTTTAAGTCACAGCTGGGTGTCACTCCACAGGCAAAACTTCTTCAAACACTGAACAAGGTTGTCCCTGGAACTCCTACTGATGCTCATTCACCAAACCCTGTCCACTACTGGTCTCCAAACTCTAATTCAGGGGAAAAAATTCCGGGCGGGGGAGGGAGGGGTGCTGAAATGTGGCTAAGAGATGAAGGCCTGTGATTAAGTCTGTGGCTATCTGTTATTTCCATCTCCCATCAGTAATGAGGACAAGCCACTCCTCTGCATTGCTAACCCATCCACCCCCACGGCCTGAGGCAGTGTTCACACCTGCATAGTTCACAGAGTTAATAAAGATAAGAGCAGGTCTCTTGTTAACCTGGAGTTAACAAGTGGGTAAGAATGTTCTCTTCAGTGTAAACAAAGGGCAAAGGTGCATAATTCATCTCCATCCCTTTACTTATGCAAGACCTTTTTAGAGAAACAATTGGGCAACACTTCAAAGTAGAAGACCTTCAGGGAGATGTTGAAATTAGTAGATAAACCCAACTCCCAATTTACAAGAGATAAAGAAGACAGAATATTTGTTAAATTTTTGAGAATATTTGCCTCAGGGAGGCAGTCAGCAAAATCTAGACTACCCAAAGTCTACAAGACAAATGACCTGTTTTCTCCAACAAATTAATTGCAAAGACCAAAAAACCCCTAGAGATTAACAGATTTAGAATATAAGATACCAAACAAGGCCAGCCTGGCGGCTCACGCCTGTAATCCCAGCACTTTGGGAGACCGAGGTGGGCAGATCATGAGGTCAGGAGTTCGAGACCAGCCTGACCAACATGGTGAAACCCCATCTCTACTAAAAATACAAAAATTAGCCGGGCGTGGTGACATAAGCCTGTAATCCCAACTACTCGAGAGGCTCAGGCAGGAGAGTCGCTTGAATCCAGGAGGCGGAGGTCAAAGTGAGCCGAGATCGTCCCACTGCACTTCAGCCTGGGCGACAAAGTGAGACTCCATCTCAAAACAAGAAGATACAAAACACGGACTATATACAAATGAATTTTTTTTTTTTTTTTTTTTTTTTTTGGAAATGGAGTCTCGCTCAGTCTCCCAGGCTGGAGTGCAGTGGCAATCTCAGCTCACTTCAAGCTCTGCCTCCTGGGTTCACACCATTCTCCTGCCTCAGCCTCCCAAGTAGTTGGGACTACAGGCGCCTGCCACCACGCCTGGCTAATTTTTTTTGTATTTTTAGTAGAGATGGGGTTTCACCATGTTAACCAGGATGGTCTCAATCTCCTGACCTCGTGATCTGCCCACTTTGGCCTCCCAAAGTGCTGGGATTACAGGCGTGAGCCACCATGCCCGACCTTTACAAATGAATTTTTTAAAAGTTTTATGACATTTAATAAATTACAAATTTGAACATTAACTGGATATGTGATTATTTTTTATTTGAATTTTTAAAAGGGCCGGGTACAGTGGCTCATGCCTGTAATCCCAGCACTTTGGGCAGCCGAGGAGGGCGGATCATCTGAGGTCAGGAGTTCAAGACCCGCCTGGTCAACATGGCAAAAACCTGTCTCTATTAAAAATACAAAAATTAGCCAGGCGTCATGGCAGGCACCTATAATCCCAGCTACTCAGGAGGCTGAGGCAGGACAATCGCTTGAACCCAGGAGGTTGCTGTGAGTTGAGATCGCACCACTACACTCCAGCCTGGGCGACAGAGTGAGACTCTGACTCAAAAAAAAAAAAAAAAAAAAATCGAACAAAGATGTAAGCCTGGGCAACATGGCAAAACCCTGTCTCTCCAGAAAGTACAAAAATTAGCCAGGCATGGTGGCACGTGCCTGTGGTGCCATCTACTCAGGAGGATGAAGTGGGAAGATTGCTTGAACCCAGGAGCTCAAGGCTGCAGTGAGCCGAGATCACACCACTGCACTCCAGCATGGATGACAGAGTAAGACCCTGTCTCAAAAAAAAAAAAAAAAGACTGGGGGTACAACTGCAGTTTTGTTACATGGATATATTGCACACTGATGAAGTCTGCATTTTTAGTGTGCTCATCACCCAAACAGTACTGTACCCATTAGGCAGTTTCTCTCTCTTGACTCGCCTCCCACCTTTCCATGTCCCCAAGACCTATTATTCCACTCTCTATGTCCATGTTATTTATTGAATTATTTTTTTGAGGCGGAGTCTTGCTCTGTCGCCCAAGCTGGAGTGCAGTCGTGCGATCTTAGCTTACTGCAACCTCCACTGCCCGTGTTCAAGTGATTCTCCTGCCTCAGTCTCCCAAGTAGCTAGGATTATAAGCAGGCACCACCATGCCCAACTAAATTTTGTATTTTTAGTAGAGACGGGGTTTCGCCATGTTGGTCAGGCTGGTCTCGAACTCCCAACCTCAAGTGATCCACCCACCTCAGCCTCCCAAAGTGCTGGGATTACAGGCGTGAGCCACCATGCCTGGCCTATTTTTTTTATTATTAATTTTTTCATGTATGATTCTTAGACAGAGTCTTGCTCTGTTGCCCAGGCTGGAGTGCAGTGACATGATCTCTGCTCACCACAACCTCCATTTCCCAGGTTCAAGCTATTCTTGTGCCTCAGCCTCCCAAGTAGCAGGGATTACAAGTACCCACCACCACTTCCAGCTAATTTTTGTATTTTTAGTAGAGGCAGGGTCTCACCATGTTGGCCGGGCTGGTCTCAAATTCTTGACCTCAAATGATCCACCCGCCTCAGCCTTCCAAAGTGCTGGGATTACAGGCGTGAGCCACCACGCCAGGCCAGTATTGTATTTATTTTATTTTTTTAAAAAACAATGCACCAAAACATTTATTCAAGATAATATGGGGGAATTTACTTCCATACAATATTACTTTGTGTGGGATTTACTTAAAAATAATATAGGGCTCACGCCTGTAATCCCAGCACTTTGGGAGGCTGAGGTGGGTGGATCACAAGGTCAGGAGTTCGAGACCAGCCTGATCAACACGGTGAAACCCCGTCTCTACTAAAAATACAAAAAATTTGCCAGGCATAGTGGCAGGCGCCTGTAGTCCCAGCTACCTGGGAGGCTGAGGCAGGAGAATGGCGTGAACCCAGGAGGCGGAGCCTGCAGTGAGCCGAGATCATTCCACTGCACTCCAGCCTGGGCGACTGAGCGAGACTCCATCTCAAAACAAAACAAAACAAAACAAAACAAAACAAAAAATAATAATAAGGGGATAAGGATGTAGGTAGACATATAGATTGGCAGTGAGTGAACAATCACTGATATTGTTTAAAGAGGCCATGAGTTGCTAATTGCTAACTCTGGGGGATGGGTACATGGATATGTTACTATTTGATTATTCTCTCTGATTTTGCATGTATTCGGAATTCTCCATAATATAAAGCTAAAGATGACTAAATCACATGTGAGAGACCCCTGCTACTTTATAAGCATAGACAATCCCACTCCTACAGTTCACACAGGTCAGCTCCCTGGCTGTTAGGGCTAGAAAAGTGTAAGATGCAGCTACACATAGCTGAAGGGGTGCCCCAGGCAGGTTGAGATTTGGAGAGACTCTTGAAGCAAACCGTCTGTGTGAACACACGCACATACATGTGGAGTCCCACGCACCGACCCTGGTGCAGCCCCCTCCCTGGCTCGTACCCCTCTTCTGTGCGAAGAGCAGCAGCAGGCAGGTGAGACCTTTGAGCACTTCCGCCATGACCACAGCAGTGGTGGCAAAGAAGCGGTCCCCTGGCAACGTGCGGGCGTAGCGGATGCTGAGGATGAGGGAGGCATTCTGGACCACCAGCACAGCTAGGGATATGTACTTCAGGCGCCTGTGAGCTGTGGGGAACGGAAGGGGCAAGGGGGAAGGAGGGGGTCAGAAGCCGCTAGGGCATAGCCACACCACCACCCACCCCCTCCTTTCTCACCCAGGACCCTCCTAGCCACCGCTACTTGCTCCCTCAGCCTGCCTGTCTTCACCCAATGAGGGTCTGACTCCTACCGCCTTACTGCCTCAGCCACAAGCAGGAAGAGCCAGAAGGGAGAAATGGGCCCCACCCTGTCCAGTCCATACCTGGAATCCTTACCGAGGTTTCAGGTAATGGCTGAGGCAAGCCCTGGCCACGCGCCTCGGCTCCCGCCCAAGTGAGAAGCAACTCCTCCCCAGACAGAATACCGACAACTACGTTCTCCACGTTTACTGAGTGTTTACTGTATGCATATCACTGGGTTAAGGGATTTCTATGGATTACCGCAATAGACTCATATCATTGTCATCTCCAAAAGAACTGCGAGGATTCCCATTTACGGATGAGCAAACTGAGAATGTATATGAAATGATGCTCCTATTTAACGAGGGACTGTCTCATGTAAAGAATAATACATCAATGCAGGGAATGAGGCCACTGTATAAGGTATGTTCACCCCCTAAGGAAAGGTCTTTCTCCCATCTAAGAAATGATTCGATTCCCTCACTCTCAGAATGGCCTACATCCCATATGGAATGATCCTCCTCATACCCAGAATGGTCTCTCCAACCCCTCCCTCCTGTGACAACTGGTTCCTCCCGACCCAGAATAGTCTACTAAATACAAGAAATGATTCCCCCATGCTCCCAGGGACTGAATCCTGTATCAGGAATGGTTATCCCACCAAGAAAGGTCTGGCTCCCTCAACCAGATGAGGAAATATTTCCCTGCATTCCACATGGTCCGTCCTCCCACCACCGCGCACCGACCCTCTAGCTAATGCTCTACCCACAATCACAATCTTTGCTCTACCCACAATCACAATCGACTCTTTCTGCTATACGGAAGGACCTGGCACCCTCAGAACGTTCTTTTTCCACCACATAACGATGAGCCCTCCCACCCGAACGTACAATGAACTCTACCTCCATTAGGAAGGGGGCCCCCAGAACGGTCTCCTCCGCACATAATGAAGGACACCATCATCCTCAAAATGGACCCTCTCTAGTCACATAAAGGACTCGCCCCACCCTAACTCACAATAGTCTCTCTGTCCTTTTATAAGGAAGGAACCACCACCCTCAGAATAGTCTCCCACTTCTTCAGTGAAGAACTCCCACGCCCGCAGAATGGTCTCTTCCACAAGGAAGGACCCCACATATTCAGAATGGTTTCGGTGCCCTTAGCCTTCCCAAAAAGAATTACCCTCCACACTCATAATGGTCCATATGCGGAAGGATCCCACAATCACTCTCAGAATGTTTTCTTCCCCGCCCCCAACACACTCACAATGTGGGCACACACACACACACACGTCAATCCACACGGGATGCTCCCTCTCACTTTAGTGAGGAACATTCCCGACGCCCAGCGATCCCGACCTCCGCCTCCCATGCGACTGCTCGGACACAGACTGTCTCACCCGCACTCGCATTCCCCGGCTCTAATGCACCCGCGGAAAGCGCCCCTGGCCCGGCCGCCGCGGTGGAACCACCAGCCCCAACCGCTGCCATGTTGGCATTTGCCCGGCCCGTCCCCTCGGTAACAGCAGACCACTTCCGTGTTCGTCACTTCCGCTTCCAGGCCGCCTGAGTGAAGGTGGGTCGAGAGCCGGGATCGTCAGGGTGGTGGCTTTTCTCCTTCGCTCCTAAAAGCTCAACGTAAGAGTAGCCCCGGGATTTCCAAATTCCGTCGGATCTGGATGCCGGGGACACGGCCCGATCGGCCTACCCACCGCCCCTACAGAGCTTCATCGGCCCATTCCTGTCACTAGACCCGCCTTGTCCTGCTGTTCGTCCGCTTCACTGATCGCGCTTTCCAGATCACCCCCCGATCCCGTCTCCTAGTCTCATTGGCTAAGCCATCCCTCTTTCATCTCGGTTCTTTATTGGCAGCTTCTCCATAAGGCACCGCCCCTTCCGAATCAGAAACTCCCAGGTGCTTCCTGGTTGGACTGAAGTTCCGCTTTCCCGTCTTCCAGCGAGGCCCCACCCTCTGGAAAGCACAGGGGAATCTGGGGACCAAGAAACTTTGACCTGTCGGGGTCGGGTGAGGGCGTACTGGCTGAAGCATCAGGTGCGAGTCAGGCATGTAAGCTAGCAGATAAAAGCAGAGCAGGTGAGGATAAACAAATGAAAATGAAAAGGAAAGTTGACGCAGAGAAGACAAGTGAGTCACCAATGAGGACGGCAAATAAAGGGGACAGGCGAAAGGCTCACAGGTTAGCTAGCATTTGGAAGCAGGGCGAGAGTCCGGGCCAGGGGCGGTGGCTCACGCCTGTAATCCCAGCACTTTGGGAGGCTGAGCCAGGCCGATCACCTGAGCTCAGGAGTTCCACCCTGGGCAAAATGGCAAAACCCCGTTTCTACTTTAAAAAAAAAAAAAAAAAAAGCCGCGTGTAGTGGTATGCACCTGTACCCAGCTACTCGGGAGGCTGAGACAGGAGAACCGCTTGAACCCGGGAAGCGGAGGTTGCACTGAACCGAGACAAATAAGCAGGGCAAGAGAGGTGACAGCCGAGGTCGGAGCATGTGAAACCAACATGGAATAGGGCAGGCCAGGTAAGTCAAGTGTTTAAGGAGAAATTAGAGGGATGGGTATGTAAGGGTAAAGATGGGGGAGAGGGTAAAGATGGGGGAGAGGCTAAAGATTAAGAGCAAAACAGGGCGGGCGCGGTGGCTCACGCCTGTAATCCCAGCACTTTAGGATGCCGAGGCGGGCGGATCACAAGGTCAGGAAATCGAGACCATCCTGGTGAACACGGTGAAACCCCGTTTCTACTAAAATGCAAAAAATTAGCCGGGCGTGGTGGCGGACGCCTGTAGTCCCAGCTACTCGAGAGGCTGGGGCAGGAGAATGGTGTGAACCCGGGAGGCAGAGGTTGCAGTGAGCCGAGATCAGGCCACTGCACTCCAGCCTGGGCGACAGAGCAAGACTTTTGTCTCAACAAAAAAAAAAAAAAAAAAAGGGCAAAACAAGTGACTACACCCTGGACAGATTCCAGTCAGTGCCCAACTCCAGCCCCGCCCTCATCAGTACCCTGATAGGGCTCTTCCTCTCCAACAGGGAAAAGGGCTTCCTCCTTCCCCTGGGGTGCCAGAGAAGGTAGTTTTATCTGCTTCTGAGATGGCCATCTTGATTGGGGATGTACCCTAAACACCTTCCACCTTCATGCATAGTATCTCCAACAGACAGCCCTTCTACACATACTGGGCGCTGCCTAAGATCAGGGGCAGGGGGAAATCAAGTTTTTTTTTTTTTGTGGTGCAGTTTCAAGAACCCTTAAAGGTCTTTAGGATGGCAACATAAGACTGTGGCTTCCTAAGGACAAAGCAGAGGGACAGTCTATCTCAGTGCAAAGTAGATGCTCCATAAAAGCCTCATACCTACAAATGGCCAGCCGCTTCTGATTCTATTACTTTTATTAAATAGTGGGTTTCCACACATGGCTTTTTAAATAATCCAGGCAGGGGGAGAAGAGAGGAGGTCACACTTGGAACTCCCCTCCCCACAATACGTGATTATTTACATTTTAGCAACTGGACAATCCTGGCTCAGGAGGAGGTTGCAAGAATCTGCAAAAGTTGGAGGGGGGTGCCCCAGGAGAACAAACAGCAAGCCTTATTTCCCCTAGCCCATCCCCCAAAAAACCATCCATCCCATCCTAGTGTCTGGTGGTGTCCGGTGGTGTCCATCTTCCATTCCTTCCCAAATTATGGAAGTAAGGTTCTTCTCACCAGAATAAGAGCACTTGGGATAACAGAGTAGGGTCCCCTCACCCAAAAAAAAAAAAAAAAAAAAAAGAAAAAAAAAAAGCCTCGGGTAACAGCAGGGCATTACCTCCCCCAGAATAAGGACTCCTGGGCTGAGGCAGGTAAGCAGCTTGACCCAATATGGGACCCTAGGCTAGGGGAAAGGGTCCCTTTACTAAAATAAAAGCAATTGGGGTATTGGAAGGAAAGCACCCTTGCCCAAGTAAGAGCATATGAACTAAGTTTGTGTGGTGGTAGTAGGAGGTGCCAATGTGGGGGTGACACGTCATCAGAATAAGAGTCCTGGGGCTCAGAATGGGAACAACTTCACTGAAATAAACTTCCTTAGCAAAATGAGAAGCAAGAACTTCCCCCTCCAGAATCAGGGACCACAGGTTCTGGGAGGAAGGCTCCTTTGTAGGATTGGGAAGGGAACTGGGCAGACTTGGTTTATGTCTTCTAACCCCTGATCCTCAATCCCTTACCTTAGTAATACTGGACTTTAATAACCGGTAATGACCTGTAAAACCAAGTCAACAAATGTCCGTCTATCCCTGTGACATGGCCATGGGATGGCTCTTCCGACCACTGGGGGCCAGACCAGGCCAGGCTTAGGGTAGCAAGGACCAGGCCAAAGGGGCGGGGCCTCCTTTGGGGGGGTTGAGGGGTGCATCCTCGGCTGGTGTTTGCATCCAGGGGTCCAGCAGGATCTCTTCCAGTGAGGGTCGGGAAGAAGGTTTGGGGGCCAGGCACCGGCGGATTAGGGCACAGCAGTCTGTGGGCCAAGAAGCAGAGGGAAGATTAGCAGTCAGTAGGGGGTACTGATCCCTGAGAGGGATGGAATCTTCTGGGCTGGGGTCAGTGAGGCCTCACCTGGGGAGACATGAGCAGGGAAGTGGAGCTCAGCTTCCAGAATCTCCTGGTCCCTCTCGAAGGGAATGTCCCCACACACCATGTCATAGAGGAGGATACCCAGTGACCAGACAGTGGCCGGGAGTGCATGGTACTGGTGTCGAGAGATCCACTCTGGGGGACTGTACACCCTTGTCCCTGCACACAAGCCAGGGGTTAGACCACTCACTCTCATGATGCCCTTCTCCAACCCCAAACTCCCCAGGAAGGATGGCCTCACCACAATTAAGAGCACTCAAGATAAAAGCAGAGTCCCCTCACTAGATAAAGAGCAGCTAAAATAGCAGAGTCCCCTCAACAGAATAAAAGCATTGAGAAGTAACAGGATCCCTTTACCAGAGAAAGAATACTCAGGATAGTAAGAGGATACCCTCACCAGAATAGGAGCCCAGAATAAGGTTAGCGCACTGTTAAAAGATGGACTTTATCAGAGGGCAAGGCTGAGAATCCCCAGTATTAGCAATCAATCATCTTATACAGATGCAGTATGGGTCAAGGATTACAGGATACCCCACCACTGGAGGCCAAAGGTCACAAGTCCATCAAGTAAAAACAATCCCTCCAGGGAGATTTAGAGAAGCCTTACCATCAAAGTCAGTGTAGGGTTCATCATGAAGCAGGGCACCAGAACCAAAATCAATGAGTTTGGCACAGCCACGGCGTAGGTCTATCAGGATGTTCTCATCCTTGATGTCACGATGGACAACTCCACGGGCATGGCAATGCTGAATGGCTGCCACTACTTGACCAAAGAAGCAGCGGCTTGGGCCTTCACCCAGCGGGCCCTTCTCTGTGATATAGTCAAAGAGATCCTGGGCAGGCAAAGGCCGCTCGAGGACCAGCATGAAGCCCTCTTGTGTCTCAAACCAGTCAAGCAGGCGGATCACGCCAGGGTGCCCACCGCCTGCACCCACTTTCCATAGCAGTGCCACTTCGAGTGGGCATGTGACTGAGTCTGACTGGGGGAACAGGTAGGGTGGGAAGCAGGGAGAGAAAAAAGACAGATGTCAGGGCAACAGCTCTGAGGCTTTTTACCTAAGCTCAAATCAGGGCCCCTTCTCCTGACAGTGTGTTGTTGAGCAACTCACTTCCCTTCCTGGGCCTCAGTTTCCCTAAAGACACAAACTCACACAGTGATTGAGAGGGTGAAACCAGCAAAGAGCCTGCACAAGTCTTGCATGTAGTAGATCAATAAACATTTGAGTAAACGAAAGTTTGGCCGGGCACAGAGGCTCATCCCTGTAATCCCAGCACTTTGGGAGGCTGATGTGGGTGGATTGCTTGAGCCCAAGAGTTCAAGATCAGCCTGGGCAAAATGGCAAGACCCTGTCTCTACACAAACACAAAAATTAGCCAGGTTTGATGAAATGCACCTGTAGTCCCAGTTACTCGGGAGGCCGAGGTGGGAGGGTCCCTTGAGCCCAGAAGGGAAAGGTTGCAGTGAGCCAAGATCGCACCACTGCACTCCAGCTGTCTCAAAACAAACAAAAATAGAAAAAACTGGTTTTTAACAAAAGGCCTTCAGCAGAAGCAGCACCATTATGTGGTATTTTGTTTTGTTCCCTGACATATCCCAGGAGATTAGAATAGTACCTTACACAGTAGGTGCTCAATAAATGTTAAACAGATGACAGCACTTGATAGCATGGGCTCTGACAAGCAGTTAGCACTCAATAAACACTGTTATTGTGTAATGGTTTGTTTTGTTCACGGACCTATATGAAGCACTAGAACAGTGGCTGCTAACAAAGTAGGGCTGAATAAATATTTGTCAAACAGGTAAAACAATTAGTAAAAAATGCCCTAGCAAAAAATGAGCTCTCAATAATTATGTAATACTTGGCTGAGTGTCTAGAGTTGTGTCTGTCATATAGTAGGTGTTCAATATACCTAATTTGTTAAACAGCTGAGTGATTTATTGCAAAGGACCTAGTACAAAAGGACTTAGTGTTATGTATTTTGTCAGCATCACCAAGCACCTAGAACCAGTCAATAAAAAGCATAAACGTGGCCCTGCACAGTGGCTCACGCCTGTAATCCCAACACTTTGGGAGGCTGGGGCAGGCAGATCACCCGAGGTCGGGAGTTCGAGACCCGCCTGGCCAACATGGAGAAACCCCGTCTCTATTAAAAATACAAAATTAGAGGCCGGGCGCGGTGGCTCACACCTGTAATCTCAGCACTGTGGGAGGCCGAGGCAGATGGATCACCTGAGGTCGGCAGTTCAAAAACCGCCTGGCCAACATGGTGAAACCCTGTCTCTACTAAAAATATGAAAATTAGCTGGGCATGGTTGTGCGCTCCTGTAGTCCCAGCTACTCGGGAGGCTGAGGCAGGAGAATCGCTCGAACCCGAGAGACGGGGGTTGCAGTGAGCCGAGATCGCGTCACCTCACTCCAGCCTGGGCAACAGAGGGAGACTGTGTCTCCAAAAAAATAAAAAAGAAAAAGTATAAACGCTACTGGCCACAAAATCCGCCCCCCACCGCCTCCCCACGCCCTGCGCAGGAACACTTCGACCAGCAACCTTCTGGGCTGAGGTAGAGCCCTCTCCTGGCCAGGCTGCTGACTTGCACAGCAGCAGACGTTTTCTCACCGAGACGCAAAAATTCCGATATTGCG